TCTGTAGGATGTATTATTCAGCGTTATTTTATCATTTCAAATCTCTCAGTCTTTTGGCTTCACTGGGGATGCCTGTGCCCCAACCCTGACATTGGATGAATGAATCCTGTTACTTCGCTACTGAACACTGCCAGAAAAAAATATTGAGATATATAGTTACAGATATATAGATATATAGATACCTTGAGACTGGAACCATGATACATAGTTTCTAGTGTCCAAACTCAGTTGGGGACAAACCTTTTTGTGGGACCTTGGTGTAATAAAATGCTATTCAGTGTTTTTTTTTTTCTTTCCTCAGCGCAGCAATGCCCAGCCCTAAGCCCACTGCTCTCATTTAATTAATCATTCAGTAAAGACTGATGGAATACCTGCCATGATTTATGGAAGCACTTCTTTGTAAACCGAATGCAAGTGACACAGCCCCTGGACTCATGGAGATTTGTTTCCCACGGTAGTTGTACCAATTTACATTCCCACATGTGCCCAAGGGTCCTAATTTCTCTACATCTTTGCCAAGGCTTATTGTTTTCTTTTCTTTTGAATAGTTGCCATTCTAATAAGTAGGAGGCGATGTCTCCTTGTAGTTTGTTTTTTTCTTTGTTTTTATGACATGTGGTCTTGCTATGTTTCCCAGGATGAAGTGCAATGACTGTTCACAGGTGCAATCCCACTACTGATAATTAGTAAAGAGACCTGATTGGTGTAGTGTACCACACCCCCAAACTCCTGGGCCCAATCTATCCTCCTGTCTCAGCCTATGGTGGTTTTTTATTTTTTTAATTTTTAAAAATTGGTAGTTGCAGATGGACAGAATGCCTTTATTTTATTTGTTTCTTTTTATATGGTGCTAAAGATAGAATCCAGTGCTTCATGCATGCCCGGCAAGCGCTCTACCACTGAGCCATAACCCTGACCCCCTCACTATAGTTTTGATTGGCATTTTCTTAATGATTAGTTGAGCATCTTTTATGTGCTTATTTGGCACATAAATATTTTCTTTGGAGAAATGTCTATTTAAGTCTTTTGCCCATTTTTGAAACGGGTTATTTGTTTTTCTGTTGTTGAGTTTTAGAAGCTCTTTCTATATTCTGGGCATGAATCCCTTATCAGATATATGATTTACAAACATGTTTTCTCATTCTATATGTTGCCTTTTTACTCTGTTGGTGATGTCTTTTGATGCACAAATTTTTAAGTTTTTCTTGAAGTCCAGTTTGCCTGTTTTTAAAAAATTTCCTATACCTTTGGTGTCATAGCCAAGAAATCTCTGACAAACCTAACATTATAAAGTTTTTGCCCTATATTTTATTCTAAGAGTTAGGTGTTTTAGATCTTACATTTAAGTCTTTAATAATTTTGAGCTACTTGAGCATTCATTCTTTTTATGGTTTGGATATGGGTTATCCCCCAAAATCTCATGTGATAAACACTGCAGGAATGTTCAGAGGTAAAACAGTTATATTATGAGAGCTATAACCTAAGCAGTGGATGAATCCATTTGGTGGATTAATAATTTGAAAGAACTACTTACTGAGTGGCAACTGTAGTAGGCAGGTTGGATGTGGCTAGAGGATGTAGGTCACTGGAGTCATGACTTTGGGTTTTTTATTTTGTCCCTGCACTTTGATCTTTCTCTCTGCTTCCTGGTTGCCATGAGTTAAACTGGCATTCCTCCACCACACCCTTTTTGGCATGATGTTCTGCCTCATCTCAGGCCCAGAGCCATAGGCCATAGACTGAAACTCTGAAACCATGAGCCCCAAATAAACTTTTCCTCTTCTAAGTTGTTCTTGTCAGGTAACTTGATCACAGCAACAAAAAGCTAACGCATTTTTTTTTCTTCCATGTGGGCATACAGTTTCCTTAGCACCATTTGGTGAAAGAATTGTCTTTTCTTCATTAAACAGACTTGACACCCTTGTCAAAAATTGATTATAGATGCAGTTTATTTCTGGAATCTATTCCATTATCTAGATGTCTGTGTTTATGACAGTACCACACTATTTAGATTATTGTAGCTTTGTAGTAAGTTTTAAGATCTGAAAGTGTGAGTCCTCCAGCCTTGTTATTCTTTTTTTTTAGAGAGAGAGAGAGAGAGAGAGAGAGAGAGAGAGAATATTTTAATATTTATTTTTTATTTTTTGGTGGACACAACATCTTTATTTTATTTTTATGTGGTACTGAGGATCGAACCCAGCGCCCCGCGCATGCCAGGCAAGTGCGCTACCGCTTGAGCCACATCCCCAGCCCTGTTATTCTTTTTCCATATTGTTTTGCATGAGGCCTTTGGTTTGATCACCAGCAGTGCAAAAAAGGGGAGGGACTGGAGTGTAGCTCATAGTGGAATGTTTGCCTAGCATGTGCAAGGATCTGGGTTCAATCTCCAGCAAAACACATTTTTTCTTGACCTTTGTACTTCTTATAGTGCAGAAATAACAAGGGCTGGAGATCATTGTGATGGAAGCTGGAGATATTAATGCATTCCAGTGCCCATCATGTGTCAGGCACTATATTAAGCCCTGGAAATACAATGGGAATAAAGTAATAGCAATTTGCCTTGGACCATACTTTGAGTAGCATTTTTTTTTTTTACAAGGCCCTACGTGACCTGGTCCCTGATATCTCTCTAATATTATCTCTTACCCCTCTCCAAATTTGATTATTTTGATACAGCCACACTGGCATTCTTGCTGTTTCCTTTAACTCCCAAAGACCTCAGGGTCTTTGCATTTTGATTTTTTTTTCTGCCTGAATTATATTCCCCATATTATCCTCAAGCTTGGTTTCCAGTTCACCCAGATCTCCGCTCAGATATTCCTTATCTGAGAGGACTTCTCTGAAAATCTTCTGTTAGACAACTCAGGCTATCAAGAAAAAATGCCCTAGCCCAGGTAACTTAATCAACAGGTATTTGTTTCTCACAGTTCAGGAGACTAGCAATCCAAGATCAAGGGCCAGCATGGTTGGTTTCTGGTGAGGGCTTGCTTCCTGCCTTGGAGATGGCTACCTCACTATATCCTCACATGATCTTTCCTTGGAGCATATATGGGGAGAGAGAGGGAGCATGTGTGCTTTGTATGTTTCTTCTTATAAGGACACATTTTGCCAAAAAGGATCCACCCTTAGGACTAACCTAATTACTTCCTTGGAATCCCCGTCTCCAAATACTGCCAGTCTGGGGGTTAAGGCGCCAACATATGGATTTTGCAGGTACACAAACATTCAGTTCATAATACCCACCATACAACTAGAATCTTAAATTCATGTGAGAAGGAACATCTACTTTATTCCTGCTATATTCCCAGGGTTTAGTATAATGCCTGACACATAATAGGCACTGAATAAATTAATGTTTCCAGACTCCATCAAAATGATCTCCAGTCCTACCTAACCAGGTACAGTTCCCAGTTCTGGTCATCTGCTTTCAGATTTCTGAGCCTTTTAACAAGCTGCCTATGTTTGCCTGGGATGTCCTTCATGAGGAAGTGATAGTCATGTCACAAAATACATATTACATGTTTTATCTTTTTCAAATCCTTCCTGAGTTACCTCCCATTGTGGAGATGATTTCTCCATCTTCTTGAATCACAACTAACTTTTATGTGTCTACCTCCCTTACTGAATTGAGAAAATTCCCTGAGGGCAAATGTGTTATGATTGGTCTGTATACCAAGCTAATATGGGGCCTGAAGTGGAACAGGGGCTCTATAACTATTTCATGAAGTATGATCAGAGCTATTCAAATGTAAAAAAAATGTCTTGGGGTGATTAACTCTACTAGAAACTTCCCAGCAGGCAGGTAGATGGTCCCTTGGGAACACTCCAGTGAGTTTCCAGCTAATTTAGTTGTATTTTGCCATTCTTTGAGTCTGGTTTTACTGACCTCTATAACTCTCCCACCAATGCTAATTTTCTCATTCCTATCCATGAGGCTCTAGACACTGGCCTAAGGCAGACAGGAGCACTGAACTATATGCATCCCCCACCCCTGTTCCTTACCCTCCCTCCAGTAGGTATTAGCTTTTTGATATATGTGGCTGCCTCCTTGTAATGAGAAAATGATTCAAAAGAAGCAGCCCTTCTTGATGGCTGATATCCTAGATCTCTGAGTTGATTCTGTTTATTGTGAAGGATCTGATATGTTATCTTGTTTGCAAATCAGAGTCAATCTAAATGGGTTATCCACTTAGGTATCAATAAAACAGATCTCTGATTCAGAGATATATTGTACCTTGTATCCATTTCCCCTGCTTAAATTACCCCTTACTCATATACATCTAAAAAGAACAAATTTTTAAAAAAAGGAAAAAGAAATTATCCTTTACTTGGGGAGTGACATAGTGAAGACTACTGTACCTGTGGGGACAAATTAGTTTTACACTATAGGAGAGAACCCCTGAAATGATGAAATTCAAAGTTTATGTAGGACAGGGAGGCACTTTTGCCCTTTCCCTGAAGGGGTGGTGAGGGAGGAAGCAGGGAAGCAAATGACTTTTTTTTTTTTTTTTTTTGTACTGGGAATTGAACCCAAGGCACACATCCCCAGCCCTTTCTGTTTTTTATTTTGAGACAAAATCTCACTAAGTTGCTTAGGGCCCTGTTACATTGCTGAGGCTGGCTTTGAACTTGTGATCCTACTGCCTCAGCCTCCTGAGTTGCTGAGATTATAGGCATGTTCTATCCCGCCCAGCTGACTCTGGGTTTTATTACCTTTGATTTTTGGACAGTGTGTGGGAAAGGAAACATTTTGTATCTTCCATTATATGTTTACCATTAAACATCCACTAACCTAAGTTCCAGTAATCTGCTCAGAAAGTCCTGACTATACAAGCATTCATTATTTCTCCACGAGCCAGGCAATGTTTTGCTGTTCTTTCTGTCCCTGTAGTTCTTGGAAGGGTAGGCAAGGTTTCTAGGGAGTAGGGATGAAGAAAGTTATAGTATGATGGATTCCGCATTCACCCCAGAGCCCAGAACACAGCAGACACCCAGTAAAGGTCTGTTGAATTACATCGGTCCATCCTTTAAGATTTAATAAAGGTGAGGCAGAGGGTTGGTTCTGAGGCAGAAGTGCTGATTGTCCTGATGGTGCTCCCCCAAGCCAGGGCAATCTAAGTCTATGGATTCTTTTCCTCTGGGCCTTAAGCAAAGCCCCTGGCCCCTTGGAGCAGAGCCAGCGTTCCTGACATCCCCACCGCCAAGGGTGAATGCACACAGGCTGGGACTACTCCAGAGGGGACAATGCTACTGGGATTGGAGTTTCCCGGAATCAGGAAGGGATTTCCGTCCAGTGTTAAGTTACCCACCTTGGGCAACTCGTCTGACCGTGGCTTCCTATTTAGCCTATTGCAGCTGAGATTGAGTACCTCGAGCTCTGCCGGCAGTCCCTTAGGCACTTGCTCCAACCCAGCAAATGACAGATCCAGGGAGTTTAGCGCGCTAGGCCAGACACACCCAGGATCCTCGGGTTTTGCAGTAGCGAGCATCGAGTTGTGGCTGAGGTCTAGGCGGTGGGGCTGCACACCAGCTGTAGCCAGAGCAGAGCACACCTCGTTGGGAGTCTGTATTCCAGCATTGCGTAGCGCTAGATCCTGGAGGACCGGGAACTTGTGGGGACAGAGGGTCGCCATCAATCCGCGTTTTCCCAGTCCAGGATTGTCAGACAGGTCTAGGGTGGTGAGGGCCGAGAAAGTGAGGACTTTGTCGCAGGAAAAATCAAGCGGGTGTGTTTGGGCAATATTCAGTACCTTGAGACCCGGCTTGAGCCAGTGCTGCAGTTCCGGGAGCCAGGCACCTCCTGTAGTCCAGGACACATTGCGAAGGCGCAAGACGGAAAGCCCAGGCCCTTGGATTCCTACAGGCTGCGGCATGGTGCCTGTTACCTCTAAATCCTCTAGAGTTAGTTCCTTGAGGCGGGAATACCCTAGCACACGCAGGGCGCCGAATAGCAGTAGAGCAGGAACCCGTGCAGCTCCAATCGTGAGCCTCCGCAAACGTAGAGCCTTGACCATGTCCATGTACTGCCGTGGGTCTGCGTCGATGTCAACACGCTTCAGAAATTGTTCCAGGCTGCGGCCGCCGCCACGGATCTCCACATCAACCGCACTTACACACAGGAAGGCGCTGGACCAGTCGGGTTGCGGTTCCGAAAAGTTGCAGGCGCAGTGGATGTCGTCCTCGTCCAACTCGCAGGGATCCGGAGTGGCTGCAGAGATATCCAGCAGCGGCAGTAGCAAAAGCAACAACCAGCGCACGCTCTCCTGGAGAGACAGCAAAAGTCAGGGAGGTCCCAGTTAGTCCCCAGAGATCCTCAGGTGCCCCCAGCTCGACCCCAAGACCGTAAACTCACCATGGTTGTTAAATCCTGAAAGCCTCTATGGCCTGAGTGGGCTCTGGGAATGGCTTTGGCGGCACTCTCCGGCTTCCAGTCCCATGCGCTTATGTATTCTGTTTGCCCCAAGAGTTTGGGCAATCCTGTGATGTCACTCCGTTTCCTCCTCTGTGAACCCTGGTCACTTCACCACATCTGTTCCTGCCAATAGCCCTACGCACTTCCCTTCTAGGAAATATTCCAAGTGAAGGTTGATGCAGGGAGAGGGGCTGAACCAGGAAGAATTCTTTGAGGGCATTTAGACACCCGGTGCCAGGCAATGCAGAATGACTCAGGCGCCCCAGGCTTGTCTGGCAGGAATGGGGAATGGATGATCCCCTGTGCCTTAAGTCTTAAGCCAGCACCTTTGCTTCCTGGTATATATTCCAGGGACTCAGTCAAATTGGTTTTCCTTACTTTTCTCTAGTCTTGGCTAATATTATCTTCTGGCCACCCAAATCCAAATCCTTGATTTTCCTCAGATATTGTTAGACCAGGGTGCAAAGAAAAGACCACTGACTCCAATTAAAATCAAATTAAAAGCAAGCTTATTATTTCGACCAGCCGGACTGCCTCTCCCAAAAAAAACCATGGGAATAAGACAGCCCTGCAGCTTTCTTGCAACCCAGCTTTTAGAAAGTTACACAAAGGGGAAGGTTATAGATAACAAAACTCTGACGAGCATAACATAAATGCTAGTTTATATTTTTGCTGGCCCAACATCAGAATTTATGAAGGTCATTAGAGCCTCAGAGAGGGTCATTTTCTGGCCAGGGAAGGCCAAGATTTATGAGGCCTCACTAAAGTTTCAGAGAGGGCTGCTATTTGGTCAGGGAAAGCCAGGCATGGGTGAGTTCAAGGCACGAGCAGACATTCCAAGCAAGTTCAGAATTTGCAGTAATTTATAGTAAAGCCGAAATTAGCTTTTATGTCTTTGTGGTGAGATGGCTTCCAATTTTAAGAGGGAATCAGAGTGGGTTTATCAATATTTAATTGGATGTTTTGTGGAAGAGATTGTGAACTTCATCTGTTGTCTTAAGAGGGTACAACTAGGTCTGGGGTTGTGGCTCAGTGGTAGAGCGCTTGCCTCAAAATGTGTGAGGCACTGGGTTAGATTCTCAGCACTATAAATAAATGAATAAAATAAAGGTCCATCAACAACTAAAAAAATATTTTAAAAAGAGGGTACAACTAGCTTTGAGAAAAGGAAGTTGGTCTGAAGAATAACTCTTCTTCCTCCCCCCCTTATTTATTCCTTTATTTAATAACTTTATTAAAAGTAGAGGTGTCTGGAGGCTGGGGTTGTAGCTCAGCAGTAGAGTGCTTACCAAGCATGTGTGAAGCACTGGGTTCAATCCTCTGCACACATAAAAATAAATAAGTGAAATAAAGGTATTGTTTCCATCTACCAAAAAAAAAAAAAAAAAAAAAAAGTAAAGGTGTATAGGCCAGGTGCAAGGTGCCTCTGGAATTTACTGAGACCCTCAGCAACTTAGCAAAACCCTGTCTCAAAATAAAAAGGGTTGTGTGGGAAGCCATTCTAGCACGTGATTGGACACCTCCCGGATTGGGTGTGAGGCGCTCTGGCTAAACTGTGTCGGAGCTTTCCCCACCCTCTCCTGGTGCGAGAGCCTGTCCATGTGGGGGTGTGACTGACCACTGACCCTGAGGCCAATTACTGACCCTGACCTTGGAGTGCTGCCCCCCTCGACCTTCATTGGATGGAATTTTCCCCTGAATTTCTTGTTCCCCAATAAAAAGCCACTCCCTGGCGTGCTCTGCCTCTCTCCTGCTAGCCCTGAGTAAGCCTTGCTGCCCTACTGGGTGGTTCGAGGTGTGAACCAGAGAGGTGAGAGCTGTCTCGGACCTGGTCATAGAAAAAGGTAATTGAGTCTGTGTGTTTTATTTTGATCTCACTAGCTAACTTTTATGCCAAGAACCTCTTTAATAAAACCAGTGCGCTGGTCGCATGGTGGAATGGGTTGGGGATGTAGCTCAGTGGTAAAGTGTCGAGGGCTCAATCCCCACCCAGTATCTAAAATAAAACAAAATACAAACAAACAAAACACCCCAAAACCAAAAACAAACGAACAGGGCTGGGGATATAGCTCAGTTGGTAGACTGCTTGCCCGGCATGCACAAGGCCCTGGGTTCAATGCCCAGCACCATAAAAACAAAAACAAAAAACAGGTGTTTAACAGACACATATTGACCTAGTTGCTCTATCATTTATTCACAGTACTCATTTCCTCTCCTGAAATTGGAAAACAAGATATTTTAAATGTAAATTTCCTGTAGGGTCCTCAAGGTGCTCTCACTTTTTCTCTCATCTTTTTTTTTTTTTTAATGTTTATTTATTTATTTTTTAGTTTTCGGCAGACACAACATCTTTGTTTGTATGTGGTGCTGAGGATCGAACCCCGGGCCGCACGCATGCCAGGCAAGCACGCTACCGCTTGAGCCACATCCCCAGCCCCCTTTTCTCTCATCTTAACTAAGAAATACCAAGTGCTTTGATGGCTCTGTGACCTGATCAGCTGCATGCTTTCCCCTGAAGGCTTGAACCCAAGCCAGGGCCTTCAGCATTCCCAGGCACAAGTAAAGGTATTTAGGTTGTTGCCCAAAACACTGAAAGAAACTAGCCCAGAATCTAAGCCAAATTCCTTAACCTCTCATATAAACTCCATACCCTGATTTCCTTGTTATGAACATATATAGGTAGAACATCTTTCTCTTGCAGTTTGTAATTAGGTTAGGACACTGCTGCCCACTCAGTAGTTACCTTCCTCTAATAAATGCCTTGGATTGATCACTCTGGCACCTAGTGCTTTCAATAAAACCAACCTAATTTGTAAAGATTTTGGGTACTCCCTTGTGGAAATCCCACTGCATTTGGAGGGCAACTTCAGCCTTTCATTCAGCCAAGAAGAAATATTTCCCATTTGTAACTTGCTATTCCCTGCCCTCCTTCCAGGGCAATTCTTGTGCCTAGAAGAAAGGGCTGGAAGTATGTTGAATGAGGATTAATTAGTAAATCACCCGTTTTGCCAAGGCGGGGGGGAAAACAACAACAACCCAGAAACAAAAAAACAAGAGTCCCAGATGGCGGTAAGGGCTAAACATTTATGACAGCATTCGCAAATTCATATTTCTAGACTTCTAGGGAAATAGCTACTTGAAAATCTTTTTTTTTTTTTTTTTTGGTACCAGGGATTGAACCCAGGGGCTCACTAAGTTGCCAAGACTGGCTTTGAATTGTGATCTTCCTGCCTCAGGCTCCTGAGTCACTGGGATTACAGGCATGCACTATCCCATCTGACTCTCACACTTGATCTATCTATAGATAACATATATAGATAGATATAGATATATTTACATTTATATGGTACTGAGGATCGAACCCAGTGCTTCACATGTGCGAGGCAAGCGCTCTACCGCTGAGATATAACCCCAGCCCCTCACACTTGCTTTTTAATTGAGGAGTAGTTGTACATCTGTCCCCAACCCAAATAAGGAAGCTTCAGACCACACTGCCTCCTGCATATCCTGTTGGCATACGCTGATTGCCTGAGCCATGCCCCAAGGCTAGGTTAGATCACTGAGATCCTTGAGGACCAAGCAGTGAGTACAGCTCCTCATTAAATACAATGACAGCAGAAGTAGGCAACTAGTGTTAGAATCCTAGCTCTGTCTCTGGCGTTGTGAGATTTGGCCAACCAGCCCTCGTTTGGAATTCCGGCCCGGCCCTACCCCTCCTCTCCACTTCGCCCCGCCCTCACTTCGTCCCTCCACCCACGCTCTGAGCTGCGGCTGCGCAGTTGGTGCCATTTTTCTCCGTACGGCAGTGTGTAGCTGTTTTGAGATTAGTGAGCTCCTTGTGGATATCCCCCAGCTCTACCATGTGGACTCGACAGCCCCGCCGCCCCGGGTTGATGGCCTGCGGGGTGGAAGAGCTACGGCGCCGCCGGCGGGAGCGGGAGGCAGGTGTGGGCGGGCGAGGCAGCACTGGTGTGAGGGTGGCGCTTGGAGATGGGGGGAGGCCATCCTCCGCTCCGACCCGCGGGTTCTGGGTCCACGTCGCCTCTCACCCACTGAGCCGATTCTGTTCCCAGCACTGCGGAAGGCGCGGAGGGAGCAGCAACTGGTCAGCAAGAGACTGCTGAGAGAGGACGACCCGGAGGAAGCCGGAGGGGAATCTTCGGCCGCGGTTCTGGGAGAAGCCGAGGTGAGCGGGCCAGGCAGGACTGGGTTCGCGCTATAGTCCATTCCTGCGGACACCAAGCCTCACTAGTATTTGAAGTGTGTCTGCCTCCTACCTGAACGCGATCCACTCTACGTCTCCATCTAGTGGGTCGAACCAGCAATAGGGGCATCATCCTCCACAATAAATTGTCCCTTCTCTCTACATCATCCCATTGTCAAGTCCTGACCGTTTTTACCTCTTAACAATTTTTTACATACTTCGCCATCGTATTTGTCACCACCATCTCTGGATATTACAGCACCCTCCTAAAAGCTTCTACATTTGCCACTCGCAGTAGGTCTTTTAAAAACACAATAGACCAAAATCCTTCCTGTGACCTGCAAAGCCCATCATGGTGTCACCTCTGCCTATCTCCAGCCTGTATTAGCTTACTCATCCCAACCACTGCCCCCTTTTCGTTTCCTGGAATAATATGCCAATTCCTTTCCTGTTTTAAGGACTTTGTATCTGTAATATCTAAAATGGATCTCTTTTGGCATTGGTATTTTGGCAACCTGTTTGTTTTTTGCAGAATATTAATCGTATTATCTAATTTGCTTGTTTATTGACTCTCCAACTAGACTCTAAATTCACAAAATCCTCCTATCTTATTTGCCATCATTGAAAACCCAGATGGCAGACAAGTGCGATTGCATGCCTGTAATCCCAGTGATTTAGGAGGCTGAGGTAGGAGGATCATAAATTCAAGGCAAGCCTTGGCAACTTAGACCTTGTCTCAAAAATAAATAATAAGGGCTGGGGATGTAGCTTAGTAGTAGAGTGGCTCTAGCTTCAATCCCTGGTACTGGAGGGAAGAAAAAGAAAAAAAATCAAATGGTTGCACAGTATATGAAATACAGTAAATGTTCA